TTCTTAACGTGAGGCTGGAATTGTCTGATTGTAGCCTCCAAGATGGAGTCCTACAAATAGTATCCCATATTGCCACGTGGCTGGGTAATGCTCGGCTTATGTATTTACTAATCTAAATTACTTAAAGTCAGTCCATAACTGAAGTACACCGGATGCTGTCATCTAATTACTCATTGAAGTAACCCTGCATCCCTCTCAAATATTGACTCACTCTGGAAGACATACACACACACGCTCGCACACACATACATACATGTATACTATATACATATACCTGAGTAGAGTCCCATGACCACATCAGGATCCGCTTATCAGTGGTTTATATCCCAGGCTCTACAAATTATGGCGGCTTGTTTATAAAGATCGGGGCGGTGGGGTAGCCTAGTGGTTAAGGCGTTTGCTCGTCACTCCGAAGACCCGGGTTCGATTCCCCACATGGGTTCAATGTATGAAGCCCATTTCTGGTGTCCCCGGTCGTGATATTTCTGGAATATTGCTAAAAGCAGCGTTAAACTAAACTCACTCACTCACCCTACAAATTATGACGGCTTGTTTACAAAGATCGGATCGGCCCTCCTGAGTCGCTCTTCGGCTGTTCGACACCGTGATGCCTATTTAGAAACGATACCCAGCAACATGCGCTGGTCGCAAGATATGGATGGGGTTGTCAGGCTGGGTAATTTGGTTGATGGCGTGTCTTCGAAGGCGTAGATCGTTTCACCTAGAAACAAGTTAATCACCCGTGAATCTGTTGACCGCTAACAGAAGTATGGTCAAGTTCAGCTTGTGTATGATGATAAGTATGATAATAATTTTCATTTGAGGAATTATGGCAAGTTTACTTGGCGGAAAGTGTCTCCCAAACACACCCCGTTGACCATGTCCAGAAGCAAACCCTCGATTTTTCAATGCAGTTTGTGGTCCTGTCACATGTCGGTATTTAATCTGGATGGGTTACTATGTTCAGTCATTTTCTGCAACCATGGTACGAAGAAGATTATCAGATGGCCAGAGATGGCAAATTACTGGTTTGTATAGCTTGTTTTCATTCCTTTTATTGTTCCAGGTGAGCTATGCAGATCTCAGTCTCCATCTGCAAACATCTCCCGCTTTCCCCCGTGTCATGACCTCACTGCTGCCTACCGACTTGAAGAGACCCTGGGTGGCCCTCGTTTCAATCTCATTCTTACTGCACACACTAACGATATTAAATCTAACACGATATCGATATTCTACCTTTTGCCTGTTATTAGATTTTGGGAAATATCCAAATATAATCACAGAGTACGGTGTATGGAACCCGTGAAGATCGGGTTAGAATTGGTCTAACTAAACAATGCTCGTAATAGGCAACTAATGGGATCGGATGGTCAAGACCCCGTTTCACAAAGCGATGGTAACGCAACGACAGTTTAACATTGATTTACGACAGTAGTAGCGCTACGATCACTTTGTGAAACTGGACCGAGGTCCAGATCTATGCGCATGACATCGGGCACTGGATTGTCTGGTCCAGATTCGATTGATTTACAGATCGCGGCCATATACCTGGAATATTTCTGGTTGTGGCAACAGATTGGTATTTGGACAGACGGACCAGTCATTATTGCATGACTCCGAAATACATGTCAAAATGATCACGAATCCCTTCCTAATATTGAATAATGTTATAATGTTTTTTAAAAAATGTCTTAATTGTTTTTTAACAATGCCTAAAAGATAAAATGTTCATGCCTTTTCTTGACAACAGCCTAACTATTGAATGACCGTAAACTACATCTTCACAGCAAATATTTTAAACGCTTTCTTTATATAACTTTTTTCTTGCCTTCTTTATGAAACTAATAATAATTTATGTAATTAATCGTAACACTATTACACACCAAGCATAGTGCAGCTTCTTCGCTGAGTGGAATGGTCGAGACAGGGTAATATGAAGTGAGCTGGTGGATTTCTGAACTAAATATCTGAAAAATGGTTCGATTATACAATCTGATTAGTTGAGGCTGCCCAAGAGAATTAATTAAGCCTGAAAATGTTTTACATTCAATAACCTTGTGTTATAATTATTTGTTTGGTTATAAATCAGAAAATAAACCTATATTATAATGATACGTTGATGCATGATGTTTTGCCTTGAGTTAATGTGCTGTATGTTATTTCGTCACATCGGTATATATAAACAGACTTCTACACTGAGGTTATTAAACAAAATGGCAACAGCTGTGGGCCGAAGCGTGAGCGAGTCAGACGTATTTGAAAAAATACCAGTTTTGCAGAGATATTACGAACAGATGCAGATCTTACTACTTTGGCAGGAGCTTGATCAAACGAAGCCGGGCTTCGAACCCGTCTACATGATTTCTTTTCACGTCTAGGGGACGCAGCTCGGCGCCTTTGGTCATGTGACCACGGATCCGTAGGTGCCTTGCTGGAAACCCATCAAAGGATTTGTCCTTCAATGAATCAAATGTTTGTGATCCATGACACCGTCTCAACGTGTGAGACTGAGTGAGCTTATAGCTTCCCATTGTGAACTCTTTCCGGGAATCCAAATCAGTAAGACGAGTCAACAGATTATCCACAGCGCCTTAGATCTCTGAGGTAACTGAATGCTACCAAGGAGTCATCATGTTATCTGGAACCAACTCAATAATGCCATCGTGGCAGTTCTTTAAAACTCAGCTTCGAGCCAATTCATAGCCGAAACAGAACAATATAATTATGATACTACATGATAACCTAGGAATCAAGTCAATTTAACAAGAAAGAATACAAGACAACGTGATTCTTCTGTGCCAGAAATTTACGTTGCTCCGAGTTGACAAGAGCGCTGCTAAAATCTTGTAGGTTTGAATATCGAAAAGCGTCTATCCATCCAACCACAAATCGCCAGAGGAGGTGATTTCAAGGCTCTCAGTCTTAACCCTCTTAAAAGACACGAACAGCATTTCCGTCACATCAGAGCAAAATATATGTCTCCAAGAAGACATCAAGTACATCGGATCTGAAAACCAATACAAAGTAGAAGTGGGTACAGATATTTGGCCCTTTGTTGAACTACTATCATTACTCACCTTCTTCGTACGATAATCTTCACCGTACTGAGGATGAAGAAAAGAGGAAGAGGAGAAACAATGGGTAAAAGACATGCGGTAGAGGAAAACTTAAAGTCTAGAGATTGACGCGGCAGAAAGATCCAGTACATCAGTAACCGGTGCAAAGAAGAAGATATCTAAAGGTGGAGAGTCAGATAAAGTTGAAAAGGAAAAAGGAAGTGACACGCCCAAGGAAAATGTCACTGTCACTGCTCAAAAGACCGAAACACTGAGGCAAGAAAGACTCTTGGGCACCTGGACAATCACAAGGAAAAGACGGAAAAATATGATGGACGACATGAAGCGACATCAGCGGATGAACAGACCTACATCGAAGGGGAACTATCAACATGTCACAAGGAGAAGAAGAAATCAGATAGGGGACGACATGATCCATCAGCTGCCCCAAGGACACCCATTGGATCATTCACAAGGCACAAGGTGAAGGTGAGACAAGACTGTCATAATTGGACCTTTAGTTTTGCGTTATCAACCTGTACCCACCAAGGTCGAACCTGAAACAAGTGGTCACGCATCTATGGATTCCGATGCTGAGAACCCTGATGATGAAGGTTTGTGTAATGAAGACGAATGTTCTCCCTTGAGATGATCCAGGTATTGGAACCTCTGGAGAACATCGCCAAAAACTCAGTCGCCATCGACTTCCATGTGAGACGGCTCTTACCTGAAAAGACCATCTTTATCAGCTATCGCAAGGTAATGCACTCCAGGTACAGCAGTTCATTGGTGTATGTCAGTGCTCCAAATACCTGTTTTATAAACATTTTAGTGCAACAATGTACTGACGTAGACAATATTTCACACTTCCAGACGGGATCGGATGGTCAGGCTCGCTGACTTGGTTGACACATGCCATTGTATCTGTCATAAACTATACATCATTTATAGGTCGCCGACCTGTTTTGAATTGATTTTCAGCAACCCATGCTTGTCGTAAGAGGCAAATAACGGGATCGGGTGGTCAGGCGCGCTGACTTGGTTGACACATGTCAGTGTATCCCAATTACTTGGATCGATGCTCATGCTGTTGATCACTGGATTATCTAATGAACATGACACCAATGAAGGATTTCCTATTTCGTTGTTCTAGAACGCCATCAACTTTCTACTTCTACTACGTCAACAACTAAACTAACGGGGTACAGAAACGATACCAAATCGAGATGACTGATACAAACCACCATTGTGAAAATGGAAGTGAATTTTAATAACAGGATTAAAATTCACTTTCCTTTTTCACAATGGTGGTTTCTGCTTCTTCAACTTCGACAACTACCAACTACGTCTACTTTTGTAATCATGTTGTAGACTGTTTTTACATCCTAAGTATGTTTATCTAAGCTCCTATATCTGGAGTATGCACAACCTGTGTCGCCGAGCACATGTAGGCCACTTGGTAATAGTCTATGAAATTAAGATACATGTAAAAGTAGATCAAGTCTCTTTGCTCCACGCAAAAAGCCCGAGAAAAATATACGGACAGCCTTCCAGAACAGGCTGTCCCAAACAGGCTCCGACGATACAAATAACTCCTTTTCTATCCATTTTTCTCTGTACAACAATATTCATTCAAGTGTAACGTAGCCTGTGTAACAAGAATTCGAAGTCTCTGAGAAGTGAACAACGCCCTGTATTCACTGTAGGTAGGCGGATGTTCATAATGCCCTAGAATTATTATGTAAGGGGTCACCATTGACGTATCACTGTCACGATATCTTGACATGCTCGGATACACATACCTTATGTAGAACCTATAATAGCTGCAGGACAAATATCTAATTTTGGCACTCATGATCCCACACAGTATTATTGCGAAAGCAGCAATTTTTCACATACTTAATTTTACATGCCCCAACACGCATGCATGATCTGGATCTTGAAATAGCTATATGACGAATGTAGCTTTTTGCACTCGTCTTACATATCATATCAGGTGTATTACAGAATATACACCGGCCGAAGTGAGGGTCCACGAGCACTCCAAAAGGGTTCCTACTTTCAACTTTGTACCTTGTGAGTATGGTTTTAGTAATTTACCAATACCTTTATAAATATTCCACTAACATCGAGTCTAGGGGCTTCACACATTGTCCCCATGTGGGAAATCGTACCCGGGTCTTGGGCGTAACGAACGAACGATGTAACCACTAGGCTATCCAACCACACCTTATTTGGGACTTAGACTCCTTCCCCAGTTCAAAGGATCGTGTCGCCCGGGACGGTGATATCGTGTTTAGTTCCAAGGATCAATCACTAAACTGTTGAAATATTGTTGAGTGTGGCGTTCAAGAGCAACAATACAAAAATATTCAAACAAATCTGACAATGACGAGTTTTGACTATTCATCGAAACAGAGACCACTGCGCGGTATAGATGCAACAGTTACTTAGGAATACATTACTTGAGATGAAACCTAGTATGTCACACATACTGGCACACTTAACAAGTTAAGGGTTAAGAAAAATCTGGATGCGCGAGGTCTATGGATGACAGAAATATGGACACCCGCTCAACGGGAGATTAATGTTAAGTAAAGCACAAACGCCACTTTCACAAGTTTTTTTTAATTGCCTTGCAGCGTCGGAATTGTCTAATAAGGGGCGGTGGAGTAGCATTGTGGTTAAAGTGTTTGCTCGTCACGCCGAAGGCTCGGGTTCGATTCCCCACAGGGGAACAAAGTGTGAAGCCCATTTCTGGTGTCCCCCGCCGTTATTGCTGGAATATTGCTACAATCGGCGTAAAACTAAACTCACCCACTTTGCCGACAAAACACGGACTTTTAAACATACTCACTGCCAGTGCACGTTGTTGAGAGACGGAGTGTTTTTCGGTCACAGCTGAAGCACATTTATTGCAAAAGATGCCCAGCAAAAATATGATACGTATATTGTTTTATTTTTAATGTCAAATATAAAAAGAGTCGAAGGTTTAATTGCCTGTTCTGATAAATATTTTTTCATTCACTTTTGCTATTACTTCTAAGAGGTATTGACAATTTTAGGATCATGTGTCATAAAATAATAATAATAATAATAATAATAATAATAATAATGGGATTTCAGGGGATTCCTTTAGTCCTTTGCTTTTTGTCTGTCTTTAAATCCTTTGAGCTTTCTGCTCAATAAAGAGGAGGGTTACCATCCCGGACCTCCTCAGCACAGATCCCCAACACCTCTTACTCATCTCCTTTACATGGATGATATCGAGCTCCTTGCCAAAGGAGATTCCAATTTGAAAGAGCAGGTTCTCCTTGTCGAGTCCTTTTCTAATGATATTGGCATGACATTTGGACTCGACAAATGTAATACTCTTCATTTGAAACGTGGCAAGGTAACTAATGATGGCTCGGTCAAGTTACAAGGGGGAGGAGTTATTGAGCATCTTGTGGAAGATCAGGCCTACACCTATCTTGGAATGCAAGTTCGAGATTAAGCTCCAGGATGCCCAGATTCAAGACAAACTTCGGGCTGAGTATAAATCTCGTTTAAAGAAAATCACTGAGCTCAGAGCTAAATGCTCGAAACAAGGTCAAAGCCACCAATACTTTTGCTGTGCCAGTCCTTTTCCTATTCCTTTGAGTAGTTGATTGGACGAAACAAGACATCCAGAGTCTTGACCGTCTAACCAGAAGGATCATGTCTGATAACAGAGCCCACCACCCTCGTTCCTCTCTTAACCGTTTATACATGCCAATCAATTCTGGAGGTCGGGGTTTGATTAATGTGGAAAGTGAATTTTAATAACGGGATTAAAATTCACTTTCCTTCACAATGGTGAACTCTAGGCTCTTCATGATAGAATTTTATTGTGTACTGCTACTTTGCATATTTATTTATCAGATGATCTAAGCTCTAGTGATGCATGTGAAGACTCATGATGAAAGCAAGAGATTCCACAGCTATTTTAAGCGTGCCAAGGTTGTTGGACAGAATCTGAAATTTGAGGGTTGACTTTGCTGATGGCAATGTACCGCTGGACGGGGTACAGCGATGGGAGTAAACCAGGTGAAGTCCTTTGCACCAAGTCTGCCCAGAGTCGGTCTTTTGTGGACAGCTTTCTGAGTAAGCCATTGCATCGTGTTGTACATGCAGTGTGTTGAATAGAATAGCAATCCCACCGACTCCTTCTGCCTGGATGAAGTCGGCTGGTCTTAAATGTGAAACTGAGGGGCTTCCTTTTGCTGCCTGGGACCAGTCACTTCCCACTCGTAATCGCCTAAATGTGATTCTTAAAGAGAACATTAACATGAAAATGTCGACTTGCAATGAATTTACTATTAGAGACTGTCCAACACCTTGTCAGTGGATGCCCCTTCCTTGGCACAAACAGCATATCTTAAACGACATGATGGCATGGCTCGTTGCTTTTACTACCGTCTCCGACATGCCTGTGCCTTGCGACTCTTTTAATAGGTCCATCCATGGTGTGACCCTGACTCCATGTCCCATGGGACCCCGAACGTCATGGAAAATGATGCTTTCAAACTTCTGTGGAATAGGCCCATATACAGCCTCAGAAGAATTCCAGCTAACAAACCTGATCTTGTCCTTTTTGATAAAGCCAATGAATTTTTTATATCATTGAATTTTTGACACCAATGTGATTGGCAAGATTGAGGAAAAGCATGATAAATATGCGGACCTCGCCTTTGAAATGTCTCGCTTGCATCCCAAGTACACTGTCGTCAGGCTCCCCATTGTTCTCGGTGCCCTTGGCTTGGTACCTCCTGATCTCTTGGCGCAGATCAGGAGAGTGCCCGGGTTCTTCACCGGGAGCACAGCCCTTCTGACACTCTGGGTAATGCAGAAGGCTGCAGTGTTAGGGAGCCTTCATATTCTCCGGAAAGTTCTTGGTGGGTCTGACTAGGCAGCGTTTCCTGGGAGAAGTCCCATTCGCTGTCTGGGCTGCGTGTAGAGGGGGGCAAGGGCCCTGAGCTGATGATGAGCCTTACCAGCCTGACTGTGCCAGGATCACCCGAACCCTCTCTGCTGCATACAATCTTAATAATCTGTAAAATAATAATGGCATGGCTTGTTGCTTTTACTACCGTCTCCGACATGCCTGTGGCTTTGACTCCGAGGTCCATCCATGGTACGACCCTGAACATGTCCAGGGCGTCATGGAAAATGATGCTTTCAAACTTCTCTGGAATAGGCCCATATACAGCCTCAGAAGAATTCCAGCCAACAAACCTGATCTTGTCCTTTTTGATAAAGCCAATGAATTTATTTATATCATTGAATTTTCTGTCCCTTTTGACACCAATGTGATTGGCAAGATTCAGGAAAAGCATGATAAATATGCGGACCTCGCCTTTGAAATGTCTCGCTTGCATCCCAAGTACACTGTCGCCAGGCTCCCCATTGTTCTCGGTGCCCTTGGTTTGGTACCTCCTGATCTCTTGGCGCAGATCAGGAGAGTGCCCGGGTTCTCCACCGGGAGTACAGCCCTTCTGACACTCTGGGTAATGCAGAAGGCTGCAGTGTTGGGGAGCCTTCATATTCTCCGGAAAGTTATTGGTGGGTTCGACTGGGCAGCGTTTCCTGGGAGAAGTCCCATTCGCTGTCTGGGCTGCGTGTAGAGGGGGCAAGGGCCCTGAGCTGATGATGAGCCTTACCAGCCTGACTGTGCCAGGATCACCCGAATCCTCTCTACTGCATACTATCTTTAATCTATAAAACATAAAATATAGAGTTTGATATAGCGGCAATATCCAGACGAGTCCTGCTCAAAGGCGCTTTCGTATGAGTCTGACAAGGAAAGAGTCACTAGGAATTGTAACATGATTTGAAAAAGAATGTTTTCAACATTCCCTGAAATGCACAGATTTTCTCTGCACTTTTAATGCCCATTGGAATGTTGTTCCAAAGCATCAGACCCGCTTTTGAGAAACATTTGTCTCCAAATGTCTTTGTCCTCGTACGTGGCACAACTAGTAACTGGGCACTACCAGACCGTAGGGAACGGGAGGGTTGATGGCACTGGGTCAGTTCGTTGATGTATGATGGGCCAATACCGTGAAAAACTTTGTATACAAGCACAAGAATCTTAAATTCTATCCGTTTGACTATTGGGAGCCAATGCAGATGCATCAGAACTGGAGTTATGTGCTCATATTTGCTGGTTCGAGAGATAACTCTAGCAGCTAAATTTTGTACCCGCTGTAACTTTTCAATTCGTTAAATTAACAAAGAAGAAGACAATGGGTAGAACATTGATGACCTAACTACTAGTATTTGAAAAATGAGGCATACAACTCTATGGTGCGTGTTTATTGCACACTGTTATCACGGGCGTGTGTCATAGTTATTACTTTATCTTTCAGGAAACAAATATGGCCTCTAACAACTACGAATGCAGTATTTGCGACATTATTGGTTCAAAGGAAAAGTTAACAGAGCATTTCATCCGAACCCACGTGAGCCTTGACAAGGTTCCCTGGATATGCTCACTTTGCGGTTTCAAGGCTGTGTCGCGTCTTCAGTGTAGCAATCATGTAGGTCATTTTCGTCATAAAAAGGCATTAGAGCGAAACCCTGGAGGAAAAACCGAGTACAGAAGATCCCAATCCCCGTATGAAGTACAAGTTGGACGAGATATTTTCCTTTATCGTGAGGATGAACCTGTCTATCGTCACGGCGTGGACAAGGTCATCGATTACAATCATAGATCAGTCGGTATGGTTGTCGGTAATAGATCCAAAGAAGGAGGAGGGAGCACAATTGAAAGAAGAAAGACAGTGGAGGACAGAGAAGGAAAGGGCGGAGAAAGAAAAGGGAAATTGGACAGCAGAGAAGAAAACGGCGGAGAAGGAAGAGAGATATTGGAAGACAGAGAAGGAAAAGGTGGAGGAAGAAAAAGGAAATCGGAGGAAAGAGAAGGAAGCACAATCGAAAGAAGAAATATATCGGGGAATGGAGAACAGAATGGCGAAAAAAGGAGACAAAAACACAGAACATCAGAACCAGACAAACTACAGAAAAAGCCTAAACTGACGTCATCACGGGGCAAGGACTCAAACACTTTGACCAAACTAGACCGACCAGTCAGTGACACGCATCAAAATTTGCGACGGGAAAATGGACACGTTGTAACCAACGATTCTGGCGCAAAAGAGAAAACAAACACGAAGAACAATCTCGAAGAGGATCATGGGATTGGAATTACCAAGATCCACAACGAGGCTCAGAAGGCGACGACATTTTTTACAGAAAGAACAGAAGAACCAGCCATGTCATTTAGCAGCGAACAAGGATATAACCTCGCAAGTGAACCTGAAGAATCAGCAGAGGTCAAGGTCGAACCTGACATTGACACTGAGGGTCAGACATCACGAAGTGGTATTGAAGGGGAATCGGAAGTCAGGGCTCCGTGGGAAGAGGGCGCTCTGGTCGAGAAGATAACTGAGCTTACCCAGAGTCTCGAACCACTAAAGAACATCTCAAAGGCCCTCATCGCTCTGGACCACCACATGAGACGCCTTTTGCCTCTAGTAAACCAGATTCTTACTGGACCCCCTTCTTCAACAGCAGGCTTGGGTGCGGTCAGAAAATGACTGTGAACTCGGGAAGAAATTCCTACGTTTACTTATTGGTAAATGTTGATGATGTAGCCCTCAGCAAGCAAAAGAAATGGTAAACATGACATGTTTAGAATATTCTTTTACATTAGCATCTTGAAATACTTTTAAATGTGCTTCAAGCTTCTCTCTAATGTTTGGTCAGATTCTCTCATACGATCCGTGTAAACTACTAATATCTGTCATCTGTTGACATGCCTGTCAACAGCTGTCAGCTTTTCAAAATATATATATACACACAATGTATAGTCTTAACTTTATGTGTAATTAGCATGCAGTTACATATTCTTATCACTTAATACAGTGATATTTTCGATGATATTGACGTTTTTTGCCACCCCAATATGGGCAGGATCGGCATGGTCATTTATAACCCACGTGGTCAACGTATGGGTAGTTGCATACTAATCTCGTACGTCACACAAGTGTCGTATCGCGTTGACCTGTGTCGTAACGACTTGACCTGAGATTCTAACGATTTGATTGGATAACCGATGACCTCTCAATTAGGTCACATTCTGACGTAACTAGTTTTTCATTCATAACAAACACGTGAATTCATTCATTCTACAACTTAAATGCATTGTGGGAATGTAAACATTGCGAACGTTGCCGTGTCGCTGTTTAATTGTGAGTCGAACTGAGACATTATATCCGTCAAAAAACATAAACGCAATGTTTCCACCAGTGATGTTAGCCGAATGAAGCAACTGCAAACCAAGAAACGGGGTGCTACGGAGTAGTTTACTGTAGGAGGCTGTACGAGGCGATGACAACTGACATGCATCGTGACGTCGGTTACCAAGGCAGTGACGTCATTACAGTGTGACGTCATGCAAATATTGTACTACAGTACAAAAATTCTTCCGCAACCTCTTTATGAAACCGGTTTCGGTTTGAAGCCATAAAAATAACAAAAAATACGCTATTTTGTCAATTTAATGTATGTAAGACCACTCTCCTACCCAGAGTTCCATGCGGCAAGCCAGCATAGTACCTCTGCCACAGGCCAGAAAAAAATGTGACGATTCGCCACATCTTGCAATGTCCATTCAATATAATGTACATATTTCTTTTACTCTTTTATTTTTGACGAGTCTACACATCTAACTAAACATCTTTAATAGAATGGTTTAGTTTCACTGAGAAAATATCCAAAAACATGTAACACTATTTCGATTTGCGTAGCGATCCTTTGTTTACATAGGTTGTATGGTTCCACGTGCTGTCATCGAAGCCGACGAAGAGCGAACGATGCAGCCAGTTTGATATCTAAATATGTACTGTCATAGACCTTACTGTCGCAGTTGTGGAAGAATATATATGTAACAATGTAAAACCTTATGAAGAGAGCGCAGAAAAGCTTTGGTGAGTCCAGTCTCTTCTTACTATGAATATGCGCGTTTGATTACAAACAAGAGAAAAGTCCGGTCACGTGATATGCAAATTAGCCTGTGGCAGTGATGTTATGTTAAGTCATCGCTGTAGTCTGGCAGAATGTTGACATGACCTTGCAATTAAGGTCCCACAATAGTTTTTGCATGATTTCATTCCCTCAGACACTAAAGATGAATAAACTATCGGATGCCACCTTGGCACCCTTGAGGGTTTGAAAAAAAATGATTTTTAAAAAAAATGACCCTCTTTTGATGATCGGCAACATTTTGGTGGTTATAAATAAACACACTATGAGCTTTACAGTGATTAAATGTGTTGTATATTCTTAGTATACAACATGTTTTCACCACTGTTGCTCCACACATGATATGTGAGTTCTTTACAGTATTTAAACAAAGGGAATTATGGGTTATTTTAAAAAAAAAAACCTCTTTTGTCCAGACAGTATCCAATCAATACCATTTTACTCTAGAATAAGGCAATTATTTTGTTGTGTAATTTCTGACATGAATATAGTTGATTTATACCCGAAAAACAGGTCAAGGATGTTATTAAATTAATTGTATGGATAATAGAGTGTTATTACAACATCTATTCAGGGCTTTAATCTTATTGTTTCATAGAATCTTATGCATGAATTATGAATATAATTATCCATTTAAAATCCATGTCCAAACTGTATGATATATAGACTGATTGTTACTTACAATGCTACAAAAGTGAAGAGCTTGCATAATACAAATAATTACCCAAATCAATTTGAGTCTGTATTCATGAGTGAGAGTCATAGGCAAAGTCTGTTTCAGACTCTTGGCACAATGGATTTGAAATGTCAGTCACTTTCATTGAGCACTCTAAGGGCAGCTCTGGTGTGCTGGTTATAGCAGTCATCACATCCTGTACACTCGCAGAACATTGTACAGGGAAGTCGAGCAACAGCACATCCACACTTTGCTGAGGTGCAGTTTTCACAACAACATTTCAGCAGTTTGAGAATGTAGTCGGAAGCTGAGCACTGAAGCACTGAGCCACTGTGTCACAGCTTCATCAGTAAACATAGAAGTAGGCACTGGTGCCAACTCAAATGTTAAGACTTGGGCAATGTTGATATCTCTCCCTGCGGCTTGAAGTCCAATGATTCTGGAGTAGATAAGATTTGTGTCATACAAATTTGCAGATCCAATCTGAACATGATTCTTCAAGACAGCCCTAGTTTTTATTTTCTTTGACAAAGGCCTATGAAATCCATCTGGCCATGACCTTTCAAATTTCTCCATTTCTTCCTGGCCTACTGCCAGTCCCTTATCAACATTCACAGAACTGTCTGCAAATCGGCCACTCACAACCTGCAACAGTTTATCTGTAGGGAGCTGTGACACATCTAATGGATCACTTGACTCTTGGAGTTTCTGGCGAATGTTTTTACGAGATTCGGCCTTTCATTTCTTCTTTGTGAATTTGACTTGTTGATTTATCCTTGGTTGTCATATCAGAGATATCGTTTGACAAAACACTGCAAGTATGAAGAATCAAGGCCCATGTCTTCAGAGTATTTGGCTTTAAGGTGATGCCAATGATGCCATCTGGACCCTTTCCATATTTCATGAATGTAGTCTCAATCATCATGTCTGTCCATATCCCATTCCAAGTCCCAGGTGTATGGCGCGTGACATGTTCCCCTGTTAGAAATTTCTCAAGTTGTTCTGGATTGAGATCTTCTGCTGTTCTAAGATAGTACAGGCCACAACGTGCATAGTTCTGATGTCCAGCAGCAAAGAAGTAGGGCATCATCAACTTAACTGCAAGCAAATGGAGTGGCCAATCTGCTTCTTTCTCAGCTCTGACAAACTGTAGCATCAGTAAAACTGGCTTGATCGGCATATCGAGCCACAGTCTTGTTGTTCTGGCTTGTCTTGCTCTTTCTTCCAAGATGCTAAATAAGTCATCTGGCGTGGATACCTCTGTTAGCACGTTCCGTAATAGTTCTTCAACTAGAATTCTTAAGGCTCGTAAATTTTGAGGATATCTCTTTCCTGACATCATGTTTGCTACACTTCCAAAAGAACTTTCAAGAATGTCCAACAGTCCACTTCCAGCCATCAGTGTGCCAACACATCCAATAAAATTCATAAGGAAGTGCATTCCTCCTAGGCGTAGAAAGAAATGACTGAATCTTTCTGGGTATACCCATGTTATGTGAACTGCCACCCTGTAAAGTTGTTGGTGACATGTGAAAACAACAACATTTTGTCCAACTTGTTTAGTCAATTTGTCAGCTTCCTTCATAGCAGTTAACATGGTGTCAGGGTCAGCTGGTTTCATGTCTATCAAAAGAGTGTAAACTGATGTTGTTTTCGACCTGACTGTGTGACCTTCCCTTCTGTTCAGTGCACTGTTATAGCCGTTCCATTCTGGACAGGGGACATCTTGAACAACTTTAAACAAGAAGTCCACATCCCTAACAGTTGCACGTGATGTCGAGACGATCTGCATGGCTAAAATTTTCAGTGGTTTCACTGACTTCATGATGCAGTCCTTAGGCATGTTTGGCTTTTTGGGACCTGTGTATCATTCTACTGTGATTTCATCATTCACTTGCTGTGTCATTTCCTCTTTCTTTATCCGACGAAATGTATCTTTGTCACCAGTGTTCTTGTCATCATCAAGTGTCTGAGTTAGAAGCATTGCAAGAGCATGTGTTGATTGGAGTCATTTTGGCTGGAAATGTTGGCATCAAAGTTGTCGACTATGACTTGTACAAGGGGAGTTTCTCTTGGTGATTCCAACCTTAATCCTCTAGATGTGACATCATTTGATGCAAGGGCTGCTGACTTTTTGAATCGAAGAACTTCATCAAAGGTGCACATCATACCAAACTTGTTCAATTCTTGAATCAGATCTTTTCCTTTGATGAATACTCCAAGACTTGTCTGCAGTGGTGTTGGTTGCTTTTTTTAGTAGACCAGTAATCATATTACAAATCATCAGGACTGGCAGCGCATGTTCTTCACCTTGGAGAATGTAACTCAAGAGTTCTTGAAATGTTGGACTACAACTCTCTCCTGCAATCTGGCAGTCTATTCTCTTTTTGTATTCCTCTTTGGAAAGCGGTATTTCTTTAGTCTCTTGTCGTACCTGTTTGGAAATTTTCTTCATGGAAGAAGTCAAATCATCATCTTCAGTTTCATCAAGGACCACCTTAAGGGTGTCTGTTGCAGTTTGCCGGAAGACAAGAATACTGGCTATTCCTTTTCCTCTTAGAATAATCAGTTCATCGGCAAAACACCTTGATATTTCTTCAATAAACTGTCTTTTTGAAAGCTTGACCCCACCACTCTCCAGGTACTGGTTGTATACTTCTGTGGAGTTTCTGATTTGTTTCCGATCAGCATTCATTGATCTAATCACATAATCAAATGCTTCATCTGAGCTTGACTCAGTTCCTTTCAATTTTGAAATGGCTAATCGAACAGATTTGGGGGCCATAAAATTTGTACGATAGTTGTCATGATATCTTGCTTCTGCAGCTGAAGATCACTTATGGCTCCTTCTACTCTCAGTCTTACTTCATCTCCCCACTTATCCTGACGTATGTCACATGTGCCAAGAATTATATTCTTGAAGGATCTTTGGCCATCATCCACAGTTCTGCAAAGGATAGATCTCTTCCATCGTCTAGGATTTCTAGAGTCTTTCTCAATTTCACATGGTCTCCCACAGAATACACAATGTTCGAGAAAGTTGAAGTCAGCAGCTGAATCTGAACGACGGCTTCTCTTTTTGGGTGGTTCTAACAGGCATATTTCTGAACATGATTTTGTCAGTCTTTTAAGATGTGTCTTTGATGTGTAAGTAGATACACAGTTTTTGTGGTAGAATAATCAATTTTCTTCAAAATAAATACTATTTCGTTCAATTTCT